GTCCAACTGTAGTCAGACTTCACGTTACACAAAGCGCATGCGTTTATCACCTCAAGTGAGCTCTGCACTCCCCCACACTTGGGTTGTTACCAACATCTGGTGAAAATTTCATGTCATTAGCACCTCTAGTAATATATTTACTGAGAAAAATGTTGACGTGTTCAATACTTATTTTATCCGCTGTATATTGTAAATTAAATCAAATCTGTTCATCCAGCCTGAAAAACCTCTAAGAGGAAAACAGGTGAAAAGTGTTGAGAGAAGAAGAAAGTTAAGGTGCAAACAAGTAAGAAAATCATCAGCACTAAATTGTTTTTTAAAAAGATTAAATAAAAGGTTTATGAGGAGACATAAAATGACAAAATCATGTTTTATAAAAAGAAAATGTGTCCACTTTAAAACACCCAAAACAAAAAGCACAAAGGCTAAAACTTGGCAGGGAAGAAAGGTGGTTATTTTCTGTGCCAGACCTGCATAAATAAGCACGTCTCCATGTGAGACGGGATCAGTGACACCGACACCGAATCTGTCAGGGAGGCGAGCTTCCACTGACTCGTGCGCACAATCATTTTCCTTTCTCTCAGCACACTCACCATCCCTCTGTGCCTACCCAGCCTTTTACCCCTTCTTGCCCCCATCCCCCTCCGATGCTCCCCTCATCTTCAAGCGAGTGCAGGGAGTGAGGATGAAGAAAGGGGGAAGAAAAGGACTCTAAAAAAGAGGGGCGGCAGGTGCAAAACAAAACAGGAAGCAAATGGATAATCATGGAATTGAAGAGACCACCAACAAAGCTAGACATATGCAAAGATGGGCTAAACGCTTAGGGCGGGATGGTGATGCAGAAACTAATATGCTAACCTGTTTATATTCACTGGAGTCATGCATGCAGTAAATTACATGGAAGCTCWGCTGAGCTTTACAAAAGTGTGAGCTGCTTGTGTTACACAGCACTTTGACTGCCTGCTGTGTTCAAAGACACACCAGTCTGGATTTAAAATGCTCAAAAGATGAAAGCAAATGCAATATTGAGATAAGAATTAAACATTAATTTATAATGAGGAGGGATGTGCATGTTGAGAAGAACGCAGTAGAGAGAAAATCTCGTTTTGCATCTGAGTTCAAGAGATTGACTCCGGTTAGAGGAGTACATCTGCCCCTAACCCCCGTCTGAAACACAAGTGAATCTTTACAGTGGCTATAATAAAGAGGCATTTCTAAACTGAATGGTGATGAAACCACTGCGGCTGTAACAGTAAACACTCCTCTGTGTGTGGGGGGTGGGGGGGTGGACCGCAATTAGCCTAGTTTCTGCAGTGTTTCTCATGACCTCTCGAGATGTTGTGGTCCAAATCAGGAAAACACAAGAACAACTGTGTTTTAGTGTTGACGGGTCGACCTCACAATAAAAAGGCAACAGAAGGAAGATGAAGGATGTGTAGTAACAAGTCAAAAGCACCGGCAAGTTTTCCACTCATCTGTCACGCTGAGATTGCCAGCGCCGAGCGTGCGTACCTTCCTTGGAAGCCTGCCAGAACTCAAACGCCACTCTGAAAGCCTGAGCCACCGTCAGGGTTACCGCCTGCGCCTGTTAGAGGAGGGAGGCAGAGAACAGTGAGGGATGAATAAAACGCACGTGAATCTCATCGACAGGAAGGAAAAATTCAGGAAAGCTGGGGTGGCTATCGCTCCGACACAAACAGGAAGTAACCACAAACACAGGAGGTTTCTGTTTTGGACGCTTGAAGAAAGGGAGGAGAGACCAGTGGAGTTTATGACGAGCTGTTTATGTAGCCGGGAGGATACGTGGCCTTTTGGCCACAACTAAATTAGTGAGAGGAAGGAAAGAGAGGGAGTGGCTCGCTCGTTCAGAAAACCTCTAGGGATGTGAGAATGCCAAGAGGGGGATCAGAGCCGCCCCACCCTTCAGCCTCCTCTCAGTCTCCAGCTTTTTTTTTATTTACAGGTATGCTCACAAAATAAAGTAGCTGTAAAGATGCCTAGATCTATAAAGTGCTTTTCAACAACAGCAAGGTGCACAAAATAAGTTGAATATATAAAAKAACTGTCACACTTGCATTTGAACTATTAATCATTTTTTTCCACTTCGTAAAAGTCTTTTCTCTTGGTAGTGCAACTAACACAAACTCTTGTTCATTTCCTGTCCTCCTGCACAACAGAAATACTTCTTGATTTTGGCCCTAGGCCTTCATACCAAGACTGAATAAGAAAACATTTTCCGGTGTCTTCAACCTGTTAAATCACTGGGTCTCCACTCATCCGATCCTCAAACACTATGTTATATGAACAATGTTTAAAACTGTGCACCTTGTGCTCAGACTTTATTTACTCACCATTTTCTTCTTTGAGCAGAGGAAGGCGTGACATTGGAGAGTCTCGTTGTGTTGACTCTGGACAATGTAGGCAAATACTTTGTCGTGCATCTTGTCCGCAGTGCAATATGATATTCTAAAACAAACACACAGCGATGTACACACTTTAATCAAAAGTCCAATTATTCCAACATTAATTACAGATAAGGCGGAACAACTGTTCAAACACCTTAAGCTTATCAAACCGCAGCTTCCAGACAGGACCTCGTCTGTGTAGAAACCTCAGACGGACAGAGATGAGAGTCTTTTTGTGATGCGGGGGTTATCTTGGTGTGAGATTCCTGTGACATGTGAGAGTTATCAGTCCTGCTCGTCAGGCTCAGGTGCAGGGTAAGCTTTTAAATCAAAACTGTAATGTTCTACAAATAGCTTTTCTCCATCATCGGCTCATGATGTCTTCACTCTAATACCAAAGCAACGAGGCAGGGCAGAGAGGGAGGGACAGGCAAAAAGGTGCGGGAAGATGACAATGGATGTCTGCTACCCGTCCTTTGTCCTTCCCTCGACACTTTGTTAACTAATGTCAGGATCCCAGCTGGGGTCTGAACACAACCAAGATTTACAGCAAATGTTTGCTCGGGAGGGCAGTGAGGAAATTGAATGTCCAGACGAATCCGTTCCCTTTTCTATCTTCTTAACAGATGTTTATGGAGCGGAGGTGTGGTGGGGTTCAAGATACGAGCAGCTTTCTTGTTTTTTCTTCGCCATCCTAAGGTCAGCTGGACTCACTTCACACGCAGTCTGCTTTATAGTTCTAAGTAAAATAAAAATGTCTGCATGTTGCAGAGAAATGCACTGAAAATCACATGTGGGCACATTTGAACAGACAAGATGAGCCTCTTGTCTGTAAGGTCTTTTTTTCCATTGTAGTCTCACTGAATCAGACGTATTTGCAACCAAGAGATCAGCCTTGCAGYCAAGTTGAGCAGGAAACTTTCCTGAATTACGGCTTATTTTCGTGTGCAAGGCTCGCAAAACTGTAATCAACAACATGCTGCACATTATTTTGTTATTATTTTGTTGCCCACCACGGCTTGCTTTGTACCCACCTTAGCAGCTGCCCCCACATTCATGATTTAACCCAGATAAAAACATATGCAAATTGTACAATGGTTTAGGGAAGCATGTTTTKGACATTTTTTACCAACATGTGATGYAATGATCCRATTAGGCCTGGAAGTTSTTCAGTTTACAGAAACACTTCTGATCAGATATTTATTTCTTGTGAACAYGTTTGTCATTGAGTTTACTTCTTTTTTTTAAACGGACTGTTGTGAAAATGTTGCTCACCTAAAAAAACYAAAGTTGCCAACTTTGAAAACATTTTAATTGCACACTGGTTAATGTGACAGAAATAATTACCAAAACAGAATTATCGTGCACAATCAAAGAAACAGATGTTTGCTGATGGCTTTTCTATAAAATAGCTGAGTGACCTGAGATAGCTCAAGAAAACCAGAAATATATGGTGAGTAAAGTCAATTTATCGGTCAATAAGTTCRTAAAACTGCCACCAAATGAAACCTCGTCCTAAATCTGCCAGCTTTTAGAAGGATGTATTTCACATAAGCCTAGTCATTCTTGTAAAAATGATGGAAAGTCCCATCTCTCTTTGATATGCACACTCATAAATGTGGAATTTAAAAAAAGGYGATTCAAGTTTGGATCATAAGCTCTGAGCCAACAGAAGTGAGGCGAAGCCTGCAGGCTGAGGCAGGTAGGACAGATCTGCAGGAATGAACCAAAAGACAAATGTGTGAGTCTGTGAAACCTAAGGTCAAAGCTCAGACATACAGCTGTTGTGCTCCCAGGGGAGCTGAGATTAATGGGACAGACTTGTCTTCCCTCCCTCTCACAGAYACAGAAACACTCTGCCACCCTGGAGTACCGCACATTCATCAGACAATAAACGAGAGAAAGACGAGAACAGCTTTTTGTTTTATTGTGGGAGATCAGGACGAGTCTTTAAGTAAACATCCAGGTGGCTCAATTTGACAGGAACCACAAGACGAGGGAAAAGAGGAGGGCTGACCTGTATATGGAGACATTTTCTATCAGCTGGTTTGAGGCACTGTCGTAAAGGATGATTCCACGGGGGGAGACCGTTAACGTGACTTTCTGCAGTTTTTTTCCGCTGGCTTTGGCCTGGGAAGAAGGGAAAACGACAAGCAAACACATAAGTGAGCGTGTGAGAGAAAGAAAGAAAAAACAAATCAGTCCGTGAGTTTCTGTGAATCACAACCTAGAATGACACCTTTTTTATCAAACACTACCACTGAGATGACAGAGGGACACCAAAATTATTGTAATACAAAGCTAATTATCATTAAATCTGCCTTTTAGTTTATTCCAAGAGCCAAAATTACAACTAAAAGGCCAAGATTTGTACGATGTTACTAAATAACCACTCCAACAAAAACATCTGTAAAATTTGTGTAAAACACCAAGTACATGATGCTGTAATCTTTACTTAATAAGATGGCGAGTCTAACAATTAATCAAAATGACAGAAAACATATCAGCGGGGTTTTAATTCTCCTTAGAGGATCACCAACAGACTATGGGCCGAATCAGAGCGTTKACTTTCCCTTGTCGTACATCATCGTGAGTCAGGTCCCACCATCGCGCCGCTGCTAACTTCATYAACCACCGAGCTGCCAGATCCAATAACATTCACTCTTTTCCAGCACGATGAAGCCGGCAGAGCCACACAAGAGTAACAGTGTTCACACTAACAGCAGCCTCTCTCTTCTAAAATGTCATTTGGTGCTTTGGGCACGGGGAGGGTGTGGGGTCGGGGGAGGTATCTTGTCAGGTCATAAAAGGAGAGAAGTACTGGATGACATTTGAGTGGCAGAGGTGATGATGTGGAGAAAAAAATTTTAAATGCTTGACAGAAACTCATTTTCTGAGGGAAGTTATTTTAATAGAGGGGCATTAAAAGAGGATTCGAGTGTACCGTGTTTAAGCCACTTCAGTGTGTGTGTGTGTGTGTGTGTGTGTGTGTGTGTGTGTGTGTGTGTGCGCGCGCGTTCCCTCCCTCACCGTGGCCACTATCCGCTTGACAGCTGCCGCAGACTGCTCCTCACCCTTGGGCTGCTCAACCATGGTGACCCCGAGGTATTTGAGGTGAAACGTCATGCCCTCCAGCAGGGTCTCCCTYGTGTCCGTCCAGTTTTCTGGAAGCTCTGCAGGATGAGACGCACAGAGAAACGTCAGGACAGCATTTCAGTCCACTTGGACCACATTAAGACTTGAGGCTAACCAAATCTTTTCTTTTTTTTTGAAAAAAGTTTGGTTGAAATTAACATTAGGCATTTTTGAAATAGGAATTTTAACCGCACTCATTTTTTTTCAGCAAATGGCTGCGAGATTCCTCATAAACTTTTGATTAAATTAATTTTATAGGGCACAAAAAAAGAAATAATCATATCTTGAGAGGAAGAAATAACTATCTAATAGTACTAATCTAGTATTAAATGGTAAATGGACTGAACTTTCACAGTGCTTTATCAAGTCCAGTCAAACTCCAAAGCACTTTACGTACAGACATTCACACACTGAGGGTGGTAAGCTACATTGTAGCCACAGCTGCCCTGTGGGCAGGCTACCATGCACTGGTGCCACTGGACCCTCTGACCACCACCAGTAGGCAAGGCGGGTGAAGTGTCTTGCCCAAAGACACAAGGACTGAGATGTGTGGAAAGGGGGATCCAACCGGCAACCCACCAGTTACGGGACGACTCCCCTAACCACTCTGCCACAGCCGCCCAACTGGTTAAAAACTGGTTGTTCAATTCGCTTCAGTTCACTTCAAACCCTGCCAACTGATCGTTGACTAAAAGCTGCTCAAGGCAAATGTTCTCTCAGCTCATTATGTCGCCGTGAAGAAGAACGCGAGCGTCTGATCGTACAACAGAAAAATACATCACTGTAACTCAACAACTCCACGTGAGATCTTCAACATTTAACAACTTCCAAACCTGAGTTAAACGCAACAGGAATAAAACGGATKTTCACACTAGCTGACATTTGGTTCATCAACACTCAGGATGCTTCTGTTGGGTGGAAACAAATGGCTACCTTCTGCTTGAAGAACAAGGAACGGTGTTGTGTGATTGAGTGTGGGGGTACAACCATTTGTCCTGTCMCTGATCCCACCTGCCAACCTGTGAGGCCTTTATGGCACTCACGATCATCATGGTGATTAAAATCATGACTGCTCTTTAATGAAATAAGTGTAAACAGATTTCATCCACATTCCTGAACATGAAACAATAAATGACAAGTTCCTTCTACTGAAAATGCTGTTTCTGTTATTTCTGATTATTTGAGGCTTCTGAACAGTCGTGTCAGACAAAAAAAGGGGAACGAGAAGTGCATTTAAATTTGTTTTCCTGTCGCTTTGATGGGCTTTTTTTTTAATCATTTTATAAAATGGATAATTAAACAAGGAAATAAAGAACACAAATTCAGCGTCATAAATGATGAATTATCAAAACCTTTTTAGGAAAAACAAACTTTAATGTTTTCCTCAAGTAACAACTGTTATTCACGAATCCTCCTGTTTTTAGTTATAAACTACTTTTTCTGGACAGTAAAAGCTTGTTTGTTGTCACCAGCATCCATTTTCACAAATCAAATCAAATTGAATCAAAACAGCACTTTGTGAGCTTTATTTTGACATTTATTTTAAATTAGAAAAAAAACAGAAAAAAGTACAACTCATCTTGTAACTCATAAATATGTGTATCTGAAGGAGCTATTAGTCAAACTTTGGGTATAGTGTTTTAAAAGCCCTGCTAACGCATTTAGAGAATGCTGCCACTCAGCTTCAGATCATTTCGAGAGCATAAATCATTAAGGAAGTGGCAGCACTTAACCTATAATATTCATTTATGTTAAAGCCAAACCAAGCCAACTGTGAGTGGTTAACAGAATTGCTTCTTAATGGTCTAAATGAAGCTGTAACTAAACCCACATTTATGTAATGAATGGTTCTGACAGTAAACACCCATAAGGTCAAGGTCATTGAGACTGTAAGTGTAGGGAACAGATCGAGCTTTCCTGCAGCCAGGATCAGTAACACTCTTATGCTGGAACAGAACCTGTGGAGAGGAATTACTAACTGTGATTCAGGACCTCAGTCATGTTACCAAGTGGAATATAAATGCTCGTCACCAGAAAGATCCTCTCAGGAGATTGAGACAAATAYGACCCAGTTCATTCAGCATATTTAACCTATAGTACCTGCTTGTTGTGTTTGCAGAACAGATAGTGAACCTTCAGTGAACTGAACATTTTCAGTGTTGACAATACTGCTGCCAAGTTTGCTCTGGAGAATTTCAGCAGACGGACAGAAGTGCTTTGAAAATGCTTTTTGGTCATTCTGCATCGCACGCAGCTGAAGCAGCGAGCTGTCTCGGTCCACCAGAGATCTCAAACAGCAAGATAATCTGCTTCTATTGCCCAAACTAAAACGACAAGCAGATGAGTCTGGACGCGTGGCAGCTTTCTTCTTGTTTTTAAACCTTCATGATTCAGCTGGTGAAACTCAGCTATTTTTAGACTGGTGCATAAATCCAAAGTTCTACTTTGTGAGCTGCAATAATCCATTTTCATAGTGGTCACATTTGCATTCACACAACCAACAACCCCACCCTCCGCTATCACCAGCCGCCGCTGCAGCAGCTTCCTGCAGCTGTGGTGATGATTTAGCTCAAACTTCAAAGACTCCAAAGCTGTGCTGCAACTTTGGCTGGTCTGAGAGCTGCTTTTTCTTTGGGGTGGGGGATAAGTTCGAGGTAACAGGTGACAGAATCCTGGTGCCTGTGAGTGGGAAAAGAAGCAAACTGGGAGGACAAACAGAAGTCAGAACATGAAAAGTGTGTGTTGCTAAAAAAAAGGTTCAGATTGACTGTCTGGTTTTGGTTTGTCTGTGTCAGATTAGATTTCACAGTTTCTTACACCCTTTTACAGCAGGTAAAATAAGTATTGAACACGTCAACATTTTTCTCAGTAAATATATTACTAGAGGTGCTAATGACATGAAATTTTCACCAGATGTCGGTAACAACCCAAGTGATCCATGCATACAAAGAAATCAAACCATAAATGTCCAGAAATGAACAGTGGTGGACAAAGTACTCAACTCTAGTACTTGAGTAAAAGTATTGATAC